CACACCAAGAAACATAATACGCCACAAACCGAACAAATTCTGTGCTCTAGGCATTCCACCACATATTACCTGGCTAGTTAGTACGTGTTTCTACTAAGTTGCTTTTTGAATGTGAAGACGAAAAATTTTCGGGCGCTTTTTGACGTGCAATCGTGTGAAGAATTGCAGGAATTTGCAGCCTGAGGATTCATTGGTAATGCATGAGAAATTAGCTGGAGTATTGTGCGCAAAAAGACAGAGGGAGTGGTCTTAAGTGATGTAATGTAAGTACAGAAGGGTTGCGTGATTAAACGTTGTCTCGAAAAGCCCGATTGATAAGATACTTAATAGGAAGGGTAGAGTTCAAGTGCTAATGACACCTGGCCCCACACCTGATAATAAAAATCTCATTGTATATCAACGCCTAAAATGATGAAAGAATGGGGGCCGGAAAATAAACTGGACAGTGGGTATGGCGAATCAGCTCGATGAGTCAAACGATGCAAAAGACTTCCTTAGAACACTGGAATGGAGTGAAGCGAAGTGTCGGTTGTGAGCTTCGCTGGTGGAAAGCGAAAAAACGATTAGGCACCAATCAATGGTGTGCGGTCATTGAACCGGGCCAAACCAGGAAGATTTACACGAAATCAGTGATACAGTATCCGCAAAAAGCTGATCAGCTGGGTTGCGAAACAAATTCGTTCAAATTCAAATCCAGCGGAACCTTGTCCAGGGTTGTGCAAAAGTAAGCGCCAACGTCGACCTTTTCGGAGAGACCTCGTTGGTAGAATGCATGGTTCTGAGAGAGGGTGAGAGAAAGCGGTGCAGTTTGGGAATCAGTACAAACCAACTTGAGGTGCGGCACTATTTGGGGGCGATGTACACCATGTTCTGAAAAACAATCAAACCCAAAGGGGCTCAGCAGGTCTCCGAAAACGAGCTGTGGTCGAATGCAGCTGTGCGGTGAATCATTCACACGCCACCGAGGCAGTAATTTGTTGTAAGCCTCACAGATCCATGGCCGCAAACGAGCAAGTATGTAAACTGTTACATAACACTTTAGCATGCGGTGCACGCAGCGAGGCGCAAACCACGGGGATCAGTATGATCCCCGGCTTGATGAACACACGGAACCCGCTAGCGCAGCAGAACTACTCTCTCAAGCTCGCTTTTCACGAAGAAACGGAACCCAGTGACCGAATGTGCTGCACAGTGATTCCTAGCTTCCCCCCTTTGGAGAGGCTAAAATTGGCTATTATCTCATTTAAGTCACTGCATAGAATGAGGCGAGGTGTTTTACAGAGCTTCATAAAAGTGATGGAGTAATATCAAGAGAAATGTAGAAAGCAGAGCTCGAAGTTGATAGTTGAGCGATTGCCAAACGAATGGCACGTGAGAATGTGATGGGCCAATCGAATGCAGCCCAAAGAACACGGAACAATAGGGTCCAAGTGAAAATAGTGCCCTCTCACCGATTCGTCTTGAAAGACTTCCTAGTTTTTTTTAGCCCACTAGCTTCCTATGAAAAGCGTTACTGGGTGGCACGGCATTACCAAATTGTGAGAGGACGCAGCACCTATTTGTCGACATCGAAAAGTCTTAGTACTTCCAAGCTCAATGATGAACAACTTATGATCCGCATATATTTCCCCCCACGGAAGTTGGCCATAATCCATAGAATGAATCCACCTACCTACTGACAGACGTGGTCAGTCGTAAACATCGAAGTGTGTGAGTAAAGCGATGCAATCAACCCCAAGAAATTTGCGTCCATCTGTGCCGTCTATATAGGAATTATCAGGGGAATTTTACGATAGAGTTGACGACCTGACGTGCTGCAGGTGTCAAACAGAGAAGCATTATCAATATTTTACTTTTCTAGTTTGTACAAAGGCACGTCAGACGTAGCACTACAACCTGGTGTCTGAGAAACCATCTAAACTGGTCGGAGTTTTGTTTCTCGGGGAGCAAAACGGTTGATGTATTTCACTCATCCAGCCTATATTCAATCAGTACTGGGTATGCACAATATACAACCAGTCGTAGTTGTTCGCTTCACGGCGGTCACGGGCTCACGAAAATAACCTTGGTGAGTATATCCTAGCCAAGACATCTGCTTCCTTGTGCGTCTGCGAACACACTACTCGCAAGTAGGCTATAAATCGTGTTAGTATGCACACAAAACTGAGTTAAACAACTTGTGCGGGGATTTGCCTGGCCCCGCGACCAATCTCCTGCAAGTCTGCTGCCATCCGATCACACCAAACGTGTATAATCAAGTCATGATCAAATGCATCTAAGATCCGCTAAAGTTCAGCAGACTAATGGTCCAGACAAAAACCTGGATTGGCAGAGATAAAATAATAAAATAAATCATTCAGCTGTAGCACCCTTTCGGTGCCTAGCTGCCATGCGACACGGAGGCACGAGGGCTGTGATACTACCAGGTTGCCCAAGCCTAGACAGGGGAAGTCGAGAAGCAGAGGTCGGGTTCGAACTACGAACCTTTCGGTCAGTAAATTCGTGCTCTAACCAATTGGTCCATCTCGCAGAGAAGGCAGAGATGACCAGTACGAATTTATAAGACAGGCTACCGGTATTCAGGAACTAGTGAAATTCACGTCCGAATGATCTATATGCTATTAACTATGAAGATGATGTCAAAGCGACCGTTGCGCGGACCTGAAAAGTTCGAACGGGAAAGATTGCCTGACATCGGTAAACTTAGGAACGGCTACGCTCAACCTAAAAAGTATTGAGCTGGGGAGTTCAACGTAACTGAGATAGTCCGAGTTTCCTCTGAAAATCCTAACTTTGTCCGTACTACTAGTTCGAGACCTAGGATCTATCCATGACGGTTAAAGCCGGTGGAAACATTTTGCTTCGCACCATTCCGAATCCGCTCGGAAAGTCGAACTAAGCCGGAGGATGATAAAACGCAGACACTGGAGTATATGTTGGACTTGCTGTAGTGGGCAAAAGAAACCATACATTCAATGACACGGTCCCGCAAACCACACGGGCAAATAACGGTTTAACTCCCGGCAGAAATGTGATATCTGTCTTCATGCTCAGACTTGCGGTTCACGGTACTCTTAGGCACATGGTGTGGGCACATTTGTACACGAAGTACATACAAGAGCCATCGTTCCGCGTGAAACAGTTTCGGATATGACTGCGAAGTAACAGTCAACGTGAACACTTGTCTTTGAGCCACACATGGCTACAACGCAGCAATACACCCACTTGCTTTTGTGGCTACTTTGTCAGTCTCAACTGGATCCGCGAGGAACGAACACCCACACTTGCGGGTACAGTAATTTAATTAAAATGACCCCTTTGTTAGCAAGTACATCGGACTTCTTACGACGATGAGGAACCGATGTGAATTTGAGGTGCACCTGTTGATTTACGCAGCTGCTGAATAAATTATCGGCTGGTTGGTAATCGATGGTCGCGGAGGATCTGACAATTACAAAGCAACGGGAAAGAGGTTTTATTTGAATTTTACCTCGAATCAGATCCAACAGCTTAACAAACTGGTCAAAGAACGTGTAGTCCACAAGTTAGCGTTTGAAACAATTACCCGGTCTCCTGTCCGATCCCATTACGCCCATCTAATGAGTTCCGATGAAGATAAAAGACTTCTGTGGCCGAGGTTCGCAGGACCCGAACGTCTTCACCTTTGATAACAATGTTTTGCCTACAGGTACAAACAAGCGCTCTACAGGTGTAAAGGTGACACTACTGACTGGGAAGCATGCGAGTAGTATGTCTTCTCGTAGATCCGCTTTGCTTCTTTCGAAAAGTGAGATCCATTAAGGAATTTGTGGAGTCGCTTGTCGCATTTGGTTGGATTTGACCAACAGTCAATGAATATCCGGGAAAGTTCAGGAAGACGCGTTCAAAGAGAAGATGGATATTCAGTCATTTTAAACAAGATGCATACGGCGTGGGAGAACTATGTTCTATAACTGTTCAGTGGGCATTTTCTACTAAATAAATAACTCCGCAGCGGAGGCCTTCTTCCTTTCACAGGTATTTTTCCATTAGTGTTCGCCGTAGTAGGCAATTCTTACTTTGTAAAGAATTGGCTGCTAGAATTCACAAGGCAGATTCACATTGAATAATCCAGTTTTTAATGCCTCTTCGGGCGGCGACTTCCAATGAAGGTGACATTGAGACGTAGATAAAGTCTGGTTGCACCGTAACTACCATTCAGGTTCACTTACGTTCATTTATAAAGACTCATCGCAAAAAATCTGACTGTTATGAAAAGCCATCAGTAATAAATGACTGGAATGTAGAGTGAGAGCAAGCTCACACCGAAGCTGAATTTTCCAAAGACAACCTGCCCGCCAACGCCGTTTGTGACAGACGCGTAGTAAAATTAAAAGGTTTCGATGAGATCGTGGAAGTTGGGTACTTCTCTACAGGGAGCAGAGGCTCGTTTGTATAATGAGGAAAGCACGAGGCAAAAAAGGCACAGATAAAAAACCAGCCCAGTCGGTTGAACATACCATGAGGGTGTGATATTTTGGCCGTGATCGCACATCCTTTTGTAGGCATTGGGAAACAAAATCTCGAAATTCTGAAGAAAAATCCGATTCACTGGAGTCATCTAATCCACCGGATTCCATTTTTGTATCGACCTCGCTAACTGTAGTGGTGGAGTCGGACAGATGTAACCGGGAAAATGATGGTAACCGCTCCGGGAGACAAGGTGGATCTCCGTTGAGAACACAGGTCAACTGTTCGAACACAGAGTTCCAAGCTGGATAGGGGAACTGACCAGTGGCCAATTCAACCATGGTAATACCGAAGCTCCAGACATCCGAACGAATGTCGTATCCATTTGCACTGAGGTTAGGATGAATCCGTTCGGGCTGAAAAGCAGAGTACGAAAGTGGATGTGAGAGCAATCAGGTGAGAGCTACTAACCGAAAAATCCTCTTGTTTCCTAATTGCTCCCGGCTAGGCTGTGGAAACCCGAGAATATCTGAGCTATCTTGATTCCTTCGGAAAGCGCGACAGCGATTCCTCGAAAAGACCCCAAAACTAAGGGATTTTGTCCTAATTTCCGCTGTTATCCTGCACCCAGAGTGATAGGTTGCAAAGAGTCAGATTCGCGAACATTAAAAGGTATTTCACTGTAGACGTGATAAGAGCCCCAAAAGCATCATTGCTCCCCATGCAAAGAACAGTAATCTTTTCTCTATGAGAAGATTCCTGCGTAATCTGTCGGTCACCAGACACCAGTAGCGCCCGTTGGCTGGTGTAACGTACTAACTGTTCTCTCTCTTAGTAAGACCAATAAAACTCAGCCCTCGGGTTCCCATCGAGTTGAATTGAAGCCTCTGTGAGTTGGACACATCCGATCTCAGTCGTAGTTATATTCACTCGTTTTCTTGGTCGTCGCTAAGAATATGATTTTCCTAACTTTCCTAGACATTAACTGATATCATGAGCACCGTGGCATCAGCCTGTTAGCTGTGGCATCGAAGGTGCTCTCTGGCATTATCCTTCGAAGGTTGATTGAAAACAGAGAGGCAGATCCGTGAAAACCAAGCTGATTACCGTCCTGCAAGAGGTTGTATCGACCATATCTTCACCCTCCGACAGATTCTGGAACAGCGACACTGCTTCCAGCAACCAACAATGGTTGTTTTTCTTGATATGAAAGCTGCTTTCGACTCTGTGGGCCGCCAAGCACCATGGCAGTGTCTGTGGAGCAAAGGTGTCCCTCATAAATTCTTGACCCTCCCTAAGGCGCTGTACACCAACTCCCGCGGCCATTTGAAGGTCTACGGGAAGCTCTCTCCTGAGTTCACCACATCCAGTGGTGTCCGACAGGGCTGTCCTCTTTCACCTATCCTCTTCAACTTCGTCATTGATACGATCATGGAAGAC